AACAGCCATGCAAATTACTTTCATAAATATTTATCAAGACAAAAATGGCAATTAATTATCTGAGTTTAGGCTCCACTTTAGAACAGGTTTTTCTTTTTTTAAAAAGTTAAATCACGAGGATAAAGATAAACTTAGATCAGCACTCTAGTCTTTAAATTAAAAGCCTATAGGAACTGATGGAATATTCCCTGAAATTTGGCAGGCGACTGAAGAGAAATCAGTAAAGATTGTAATAAAGCTATGCTAACAACAGAGTGGCCACCAGCTTGAGAGTTCACAAGGTTAATGCTGTATGGAATGAAATTATGGCTGAATCTGGATGTTCTGCTACCATATCTGTAATTTTGCAACTAGCAAAATGTTTAGGATCATCCTACACAGATTAGAAACTGTGTTGGATGGAACACAATACATTATTGCTGGCATAAAAATAAGTCAATATGTACTTCACTGTTTACATAAAAGCTTTCAATTATGGCATTTAAGTCAAGCAGCAAAATGTGCTATAAAAAATAGGAAACCCAGAACATAATATTGTCCTCATGAAAACATATACATAGGTGAGAAAGCCATAGTACAGATATAAAAATGTCACAATTTACTAAGATATACATTATATACTGACAGCTGTAAGAACAAATTTGGAACACCATTGTCAGACGAGGAGAGTAAAATTGGAGAATATGAACAAGAATGGCTCCCATATGTACTATGCATTACGCAGCAGAGTGAATTCAGACAATTGAAATACTGTTTTAGGAAGAATATTATAAACTAATCTCAATAATAGTTGAAAGGATTCAGATAGTTAATACCCATAATGTTTAAAGTAATATGCACACATACACACACACAAACACAAATATGTGTTTGTTGTGGAAATAAACAAAAGGGAAGCAGAGACTCTCTTACAAGAAAGTTTTCCCACAATGTTTTTATTTATGTTTTATTCCATTTTAGTTGTTGTTGTTTTTTATTCCATTGTTACTATCCAATGTAGAATTTGTTTTTCCTTTGCCTTTCATTTAGGATAGGATAGGATAGGATAGGATAGGATAGGATAGGATAGGATAGGAGAGGAGAGGAGAGGAGAGGAGAGGATAGGAGAGGACGGGACAGGACAGGACAGGACAGGATAGGATAGGACAGGACAGGACAGGACAGGACAGGACAGGACAGGACAGGACAGGATAGGATAGGACAGGACAGGATAGGATAGGATAGGAAGAACGTAATTACTATGTGTTAACAATACTGGGCAGCTATTCTGAAGTAGTATTTCAACTTAAATATACACACTTGGTTCAGGACAAACAAGGTTCCCTGCCTGCTCAACCTAACCCTCTCAGTTACAAAATATAATTTCTATTGATTCAGAAAGCATCTGCATACAACCTGTCTTTAAAATAGTAACATGTGGATAATTTATTTTTCATAAAACTTAAAGTTTGCAGGGTTGTATTCTTTGTTTGTGTGACTGAGCTATAGATCTGCTTTATGATAAGGCCTTGCTGTTCCAAATCTGCACCATCAATATAAGCCTCCCACCCACCTTCCTTAAATGCAAATCTAAACCGGAAAGGACAAGTTTTCAATTAGCAAATTACCAAACAAAACAAAACCATCAAATAACGTTGATTATCACCAAGAAAATTTTGTTTTTGTTTAAATTCAAAATATTTTAAAAGATATAGAAACTCATGAAATAACATGCATAATTATTCACTGAAGTCTTATGGCTAAAACAAACACAGCACTACTTTCAATTTAATAAACAAGGGAGAGGCAACAGGTGCAACTTCTGTTAGATCTATCACTAGGAATACTTTTAGTGAATCAGAATTTGGAGCCCCTTCATTCCAGGCTTTAGTCATGGTGGTTGCCACCATGTTCAGGCACCCGTGGGGGATTAAATAGACACACTATGTTTTTGTTAGTATTGGAAAAAAATTTTTCTGTAAAAGGATTTTTTCCCCTTTGTCTGAAATGTACTGTTTAAGCATAATTACAGAATTATGACAAAATATATAAATACAGAACTACAAACATGACTGGGAAAAACATGAAAATATCCCAGAAGATGAGATTGCTAACTGGTGTGGTAACTGATGCAGTCCAGCAGTATCTAACTGAAAACAAGTCTTTCCACCCATGCAGAAAGGAAACTGCCCAAACAACAAAGGAACAAATGATCAGCTCTTAATTGATAAGATGATTTTGGCAAACTGCAAGAGAAGGAAGCCCAACTTTACTACAGTTTGGATTGATTACTAGAAGGCATTTAACTCCTTGCCACATGACTGGACAACCAACTGCCTAGAAATAACAGGAGTCAGTTGAAACATCAGAAACTTTGTGCAAAGATCAATGGCACAATGGAAGACATGGTTGCTGGTCAATGGTGATAGACTGGGAGAGGTTAATATCAAGAAAGGAAATTTTCAAGGAGATTCATGCTCAGCACTGTTTGCCATTGATTCCTCTGTCAATAATACTAAACAACTAGAAGTCAGGTCTTGGCTAACAAACAAAAAAAACATATGTCAGGGTATTCCACCTCCTTTAGATAGACAATCCAAAGTTGTATGAAAAAAACCCATCTGAAATAAAATAGCTTGTCAACACTCTAATATGCAGCCATAAATTGCAATGGAGTTTGGACTGGAAAAATGTGCTACCCTTACCATCAACAGGAGAAGTAATGAAACTGAAGGAATTAAGATGCCCTATGGAAGAAGATTTTAAAATCCAAACTCAGTGAAGAAAATACAATCAAGTTGATTAATTCCTGGGCAATTCCAGCTGATATACAACTGGAATAGTGGACTGGACTCAAACAGAACAAGAAATCCTGGATAAGAAGACCAGAAATATAACGACAATGAATCGTGCCTTTCATCTACACAGCAATCTTGACAGACTCCAATTACCAAGGAGCCTAGGTAGGAATGGAATGTTGTAAGTACACCAGTACACTTCCAATTGAAGAAGGAAAAAGAGCACCAGAAAAATATCTGAAGGACAGAGAATAAGATATACTGAATCTAATACACCACAAAGGCAGACTGAATATCAAATGGACTAAACTGGCCTGTAAGAAAGACCAAATGAAGAATAGAAAAGAACTAGCCAGCAAAACAGATAAGAAGAACACCAGGGAAAAGCTAAGAGCAGGAAAGTTGAAGAAAATGATAAAGGCTAATTCTGGCTGCACAAGACCTAGACTTAAGAACAAATACATATGAAGGCAGACCTGAGAAGACAGCAACAGACAGCAGATCTTACCTCTGCAAAGAAACTAAAGTAACAGTACTTGAAGAAGGCTGCGTAGTCTGACTACAAACAACAGCACGACAAAGTAGCAACAATGATGCATTGGAAGATCTGCAAGAAATACCACTTGCCTGTAAGCAAGAACTGGTGGGACTAAAAAAAAGTTATGTTAGAAAATGAAAAAGACCAAAGTGCTGTGGGACTTTAGAATTCAAATATAAAACATCTGCCACACAACACCCCAGGTTTAACAATTGTTGATTTAAAAAAAGACAAAAACTCTTGGATGTGAATACTGCAAAACCCAAAGACAGTAGAACAGAACTGAAAGAGTCAGAGAAAAAGACATGTAAATAGAACAACTGTGGCAAAAGAAAGCAAAGATAGTACCAACAATAATGGGCTCCTACAATAATCCCCAAACAACTAAAGCATTACTTGAACCCCATCAGCATTGACAAAATCACACCAGTCAATTGCACAAGGCAGTTTTAGTTGGAACAGCTTACATCCTGCCACAATGGCATTAACACTATCAAACAACCATGGCTGCTTATCTTGGGAAGGATTTGATAGATGGATAAAACTCCAAATCCAATATCAACTGACAATGTGACCAAGAACAACAACAACAATAATAATATTAACATGCCAAGAAACTGCCATAAAGTTTTTAGGAATTTTGCTCAATTTGAACTATCTTTACTTTAATCTGCTAATTCAAATGAAAAAAATATCCAGAATTCTAATACAGAAAAAACTTCTATCAATAAATGTAACCAGCAAGTTTTTGTGTTGATAAGAGTCAAGGGAACCATTTTGCTTCTTTGACCAGAAACTCTACCATGATAGGGGATGTGCAAAATCAGAAAATGCATTGCTTTAAAATACTATTGCACAAAATGCAATAGTAGTGTCTTACAATTTTGACAAATAATAACAGGCAAAAAATTGCATTTCTATGTATCTAAGACACTTTGAATACGTATAAATATTCAATATTTTAAGAGAAAATGATATGACATGTGAGCATTAGTTATTTTTGTCTTTAATTCTTCATGAATGTTTATAATAGTTCTGATTGCCTGTTGATATTTTTGTTAAGCAATGCCAGAAAGCTGCAAAATATTATAACCTAGATAGTTTAACTTGTTGATTTAAACAAGTGCCAACAGTATATCCACAAGAAGTCCAAAACACCTTGCCACATTCAATCAATACCTTTTTTACTGAAATGAACATTTTTATGGGACCATACAGGAAAAGATGCAGCTTGGAACCAATTGGTAGTGGAATACCCCTACTTCCTCCAAATATTTTCTGTTTTGTATTAGAAGTACAGCCCTATTTATAACACTTCAATTTTTCTATATGGATATGAAAGATTTTCTGACAGTGGACATTTGTCATGATTTTTAAATTGCATTTGAGTAGGCCTTAGAATTCTACAAATGTCTATAGTTATGAAGAAGATTCATTTATAAATGAGTCCTGTCATTCAATGTTATTCACATTGTCATTATTTCTCCTCTGCTTTATTAAATTAGATGAGCAGAATGTCATGTAATCCACTTCTCTCATATCAATTACAGGAAAGTAGTTTAGTTATGTAAGGTGAGGGGATTTGTAGTTTAACTATACATGTATTATGTATTATATATGTCGCCTCTAGGTGAGATAGGCGGCATATAAATTTAATAAATAAACAAATAAATATGTATACTTACAGGTCATTATGAATCAGGCCATAAATCTGTGGTAAGTTATGATGATAGATTCCTCGCATGATAATTAGTAATAGTATAACAATAAGGGCTGGAAGACCCCAACCCAAAAGAAAAAAAATTAGATAACGCCGTTCTGTGTGTTCATCGTTCATCACCAGGATATACCAAAAATTAACAGCCTATGGAATAAAAGGGAACATTAAATCAATATGCTTAATAGTATTTTACTAACAGTTCTGTAAAAACAACTTTTTAGAAATATACTTATGGCAACATCCAACCCAATTAGAAACATAGAAAACTAACAGCAAAAAAAGACCTTGTGGTTCATCAAATCTGTCCTTTGAATTTTTCCTTGTTTTTTTATTTTTTGTAATTAATTAATTATTTTGAATTATTATTTTTATGATGGAGGTATGCTTATGCCAAGCATGTTTAAGCTCAGTTACTGATGTTTTTATTATTCAAAAATAAAACAAAACAAAAAACAAAAAAAAGCATGGATCTAAGAGTAGCAATCTGTATTTGCAACCAGTATATTCTAGATTTAAGAAAAAGAGTTCACGTAAAGCACTATAATTTATTCCATGGACAAAAGTTCTAATTTTTATGATCTTTAAAGGTTGGTATCAAATATAAATATCCTTGGGTCTGCCTCTACTGTGTAAAAGCAGTGATTCATATAGGCTAAACCAAAAGGCAGTATGTACAACAGATAAAAATATTAGAGTAGAATCCAGGAGAAATAATTTCAAGTCACCACTTGGGTCAGGCACCTCTTTCAATATATCCTCACAGAGTATGCCCTGGGATGTATGCCCTGGATAAGATGACAGTTTTATGCATGTGCAACACAGTGTAAAAAAAAGAGCAACAGAAATGTTTTGTTTAATTTTTATCCCACTCACCTGAATTGCAGAATTAGCAATTAATTTACATAACATGCAAAACAGACTATCTGCATTTGTCAGACTGGAATATGTAAGGGTTATTCTGAATCATGCATAGAACTGCTGATTACATTAATGCAGTGGTTCTCAACCTTTTTAATGCCGCGACCCCAACCGGTCATAAGTCGAGGACTAAACCAGTTGTAAGTCGAGGACTAAACCGGTCGTAAGTCAAGGACTTTCCCTGCCCGGGAGCGCCGCGCATGCGTGGTTCCGCCCCCTGCGCCGGCCGAGGCGTAGCTGGCAAGCGGCAGAGATGGAGCAGGCCGACCACCAGCTGGCCCAGCCCAAGGGAGGTAAGGCACCCGCCGGAAAAGGGGAAAAAAATGGCGGACAGCCTTGCTTGGTGACCCCCGTGAAATGGTCGATCGACCCCAAATGGGGTCCCAACCCACAGGTTGAGAACCACTGCATGAATGCCCATATCATTAAACCTATTTGTAGAGGGCACAGGTGTCAAACTCGCCACATCACCTGACTTTTTTCGGAGCTGGGGTGGGTGCAGCCTCCGCATGATGAAACCAGCCTGCGGGCTGGCAGTTTGACACCCCTGGTATAGAGCATTTGGAGAAAATGAAACAATGCCAATACTTGGCAGCTAAAAATAGGTCTTCTGCTAGACATTGCATGATAAAAATAATAATTTAAAAAAGATTTAAAAAGAAACTGCGTGGTAAAGTAACCCCAAAACTTTTGAAACCCAAATCTCCTCTCCTAAATGAACCATTTGCAAGCAGGAAGCATTAAGTCGCATTGAATTTATTCCTAATACATTTAACTTAAAAATGATCTAAAAATTTATTGAGCTCATGCCTCCTGAGAATTCAACATTTAGTGATAAATAGGCAATTGTTTAAATGTACCTTGGCAAACATTTCAAAAGGTCAAAGGAGGAAATTAATGGCTACACATTTTCTTAATACAATCAGGAAAAAATGATGTAGTAGACATTTTAAATAACACACTGTGTGTGTGTTTGTTTCTGGGTGCATGCATGTATATGTATTTATTAGCAGCTCATCATTTTAATGAACCTATGGAGCTTTCTGTGCCCTGCATTCATTTTATAACTATGTTGTTTTCTTTTTGTGATATTAAAAAAACAGAGTGCTAGCTAGAATGTATCTTGCTGCATGATCTTGTAATAAAACTGGGCCATGCTTCAGCCACAGACAGATGAACCCTGGTATTTATTTTTGTCATTCTATTTAGCCAAAGAACCATGATCCCATTAATTCTACCTCTTAGAACAAGATTTTTTAGCCATGCAATTTTCTAAGAACTGGTACTATGTGTCCTTACCCTTGTTTTCTGTAATTGTTTAATCACAGTTACGTATCATCTTATCTCTTATTGCCTAAATGATAATAGCGACCCAACTGGACCTTGTAAACCTTGTGAACTTGTTTTGTTTGCTATTTCTTGTATGTACATTCCTGATATGTAATGTCATTTTTTAAAATCTTGATAATTATATGCCTCTCATCTTTTGGTATTCTAGAATTAAACAGATCAAATACAAACAGCAGATCTAACTTTAGCAATATTTTTCTGTTGCTATGGGGTAATAATAACAAGTAGTTGTATGGACACAAAAAGGTACAGCCATTCTAGAAGAATGAACTCATGCAGAAATTTATGCTGGGGAGTAAATCAGAAATAACTTACACTTTATTTGAAGTATAATCAAACATCCTTTCTTGGTAGATCTGTTTTAAAGAGAAGCTGGATAGCAGCTGGATAGCATCATGATTAGAATGCCATATTTGACGTAGGAGACCAGAGGTCAAATCCTGGATGATACTTACCTTACCAGTAGGGTCCATGGGCAAAGATTCCCTAACGCTTCACCTGCCTATCTCAAAATATGTGACATGAATGAGGAGAGTCATACAGACTCAGACATCACTCAGATTAAAAAAGTCCACATCAAATATTGGGGAACCAGGACAACTTGATAGTAAGTGGACAACTGAAACAAATCATCCATGGATAAGACAAGAGAACTTGGAATTGATGGAATATTACTACAGCAGCAGACCTAATGAGAGGGGATAAATGAAAAGTATGAGGAAAGCATGAATGGACAGAAGACCTGCATCCTCACTGAGAAACAGCTAGTTACCCAACACTTCAACATAGTTAAGATGAAGCTGCTGTCACATATTAAAAATGGAATGTTGCCTGCTCTCAAAAGAAAATATATATTTATCCATACACATACACAACACACATTTACACATGCTATATACATATACTGTGTTTCCCCAAAAGTAAGGCATACCCCGAAAATAAGCCCTAGCTTGATTTTTGGGGTGGGCCTAATATAAGCCCTACCCCAAAAATAAGCCCTAGTTTTGGGGGCGAGGCGCATGCCTAAAACTCAAGCTAGGGTGGGGTTGTGGAGCTGCCCCACGCGCCCTGCACCCACTTACCTTGCAGCCAGGCCTCTCCTCACCCGCCCACTTCTTCTGCGGCGTCTTCTGCAGCCAGGCCTGCATTTCTCAGACACAGGCCTTTCTAGAAGGCCTGTGCAGCCAAGACCCTGCAAGGCCTCTACAGCCAAGGACTGAGCTATGGATTGAATCCATAGCTCGGTACTCGTCTGCATAGGCCTTCCGGAAAGGTCTGACTGCAAAATGCAGACTGGAATGCAGCTGCAGAATGAAGCTGCTCCTTTGGCCGCAGAAGAAGTGGACCTGCTGGGTGGGGCTGTTGCTGCCGGAAGTGAGTAAGACATCCCCCAAAAATAAGAGCTGGTGCATCTTTTGGAGGCAAAAAAAAAAATAACACCCAGTCTTATTTTGGGGGAAACACAGTATATACCTACACACACACACACACACACACACACACACACACAGATACACACATATAGTTTGTATATATATTGTTCCTTAAGAACATATTGTTCCTTAAGAACAATATGGAAACTGAGGATACCAAAGGCAGAATGTGTTTCTCTAGAAGTGTCCAGTATTGCGATGCAAAGAGTGTAATAGATATAGCGTGGGTAACTCTTCATACCTGTCAGTTACTCCTTTAAAAAGAAAAGAGCCTTCTATATTTTTACAATAGTAATGAGGGCTGAGGAAAATATGTGTTTGAGTTAAAGAAGCAGCAACAATTTAATACAAGTTAATAGGAAATAAACAATATGATTACAGTAGGAGTCATTACTATATACAGGCAACAGACAGTTTGGTACATTAGTTAAGATGCTGAATTAAAAACCACAAAACTGTGAGCTCCAGTTCTCCCTTAGGAATAAAAGCCAGCTGGATGACTTTGAGCCAGTCATTCTCCTAGTGTTGCTGTAGCAGTGAAAATAGGAAAGAGGAACATTATGTATGGCATTTTCAGTTGTTAAAAACAAAGGTAGGATATAAAGAGGAGGAGAAGAAGAATAGGGATGAGGAGAGAGGAGGGAGAAGTAAAAGTAGAAGAAGAGACATTTATGCTTCTTTTTGTAGAAAAAATATCCCCCTTAAATATAAATACGTACTAAAGGAATGTTAGCCAAAAGCAAAAGGGCAGCAGCCACATAAATCCAGGAAAAGGCTTAGCCCTTAGGGTTTGCTGAGAAGCCCTTTGTTCATTGCCTGAACACTCTTGATGTTCCTTTCTGGAATCAGATCCAAAACTCTGCACTAAAAAGCAGAATTTTTACTAACCTGAATAAGCATCCAGCTGAACTGACAAAGGTAAAGATAGTGGGTAACTGAACCCAAAGCAGAGCAACTTTCTTCAGAGAGCTGCTGACTTGTGTAAGCTGAAGCCAGAAATGATATCTAGAAGAGAATTATAGCNAAGGAAGGAAGGAAGGAAGGGGGAGGAAGGAAGGAAGGAAGGAAGGAAGGAAGGAAGGAAGGAAGGAAGGAAGGAAGGAAGGAAGGAAGGAAGGAAGGAAGGAAGGAAGGAAGGAAGGAAGGAAGGAAGGAAGATTTACAGACTAAGAAACTAGGGGCATTCTATCAAGCAGCATATCCTCCAGCTTGGATTCATGAAAAGTGTAAGCTGGGTCTCAGTGAAAAGAAGGCAACCCAATATAGCTTAGAGGTTTTCCAAAAAGACAGAGGGGATTTATTACTTCAGAACAAGAGTTTGGGAGAGTTTACTTGGGGCCATCACTATTGTCAGGCTTCATCTTCCAGCAAGAAATTACTACCTGGGAAAGCACACTTGAAATACAGATAGATTGTGTGTATTGAATTAAATAATTTAGCAATGCATTACACATAGTCCTCAAATTATGATCATAATGGAGCCTGTCCATTACAATTGTAAGCTGTAATGGTTGTAAAATGAATCTACCATGTGACTGATTCAATTTTACATCATTTTTTGCTTTGGTCATTAAAAAAACATGCTGGTTGTAAAATAAATATCAAGTTATTAAGTGAATGCTGCAATCATCAAGAAAAGCTATGGTTTGCTGAAACTACAGTTCAGCCAAAAAACAGAAATAACTACTGATTTTCATTAAAATTGTAGTAAATTACAGTCACAGGTCTGTGGGACGCTGCAAATGGTAATAAATGCAGCTGTGTTGGCAAACACCCAAAGTGCAATGACATCACTTGGGGGGGGGCAACCATTGGAATTTTGGATCCAAGTTGTCTCTTCTTTTGTTTTGGTTGGAACTTCAAACAGTCACTAAGCAAACAATCGTAAGTCAAGGATTACCTGTACTGTGTCTGAAGAACAAGCTCAATGCATAGAAAAAATGTTCCAAGCCACTTACATTTTACCTTCCTTCATATGTAATAGATTACTTAGCCCCCTCTTTTGACAAGGTTATCTGTATCCCCTGTCCATTTTAACCATCAGGTTGTCTTCTACTGACTGTAAAAGCTAACAGTCATATTTGTGGCTAAAGAGGCTGAAGGACTGGGTTGCAACATCCTTGGTGTAGTTCTCATCAAAGGTTCAGAGGTGGGAACAGATATGCTATGCTTGTTCACTTTTGTATTCAATTCTAGTTAGGTCAGATATTAATGTCTGAGCCTATAAATGTACAATATGTAAGTTGCAAAGTTCCAACTTGAGGGAAATAAATACAGACTGTTCTTATCTTTAGGTGAAAACAACAGGAGGAAGTTTATGGCATCTCTTTGCTCATCTCAAAGCAACTCAACTTTACTGATATTTTTTCTTTTCTCTCTCTTCCCCACTGTCCCCCAATTTCTATTTCCCAGCTTGGTGCATTATTTGATCTGTAGAAATCTCATCTCTACAAATTTAGAAGACATTTGTAACACGGAATAAAAATATGTAAACTATATATATATGGTTTTGAAATATGTGAACTGAACAATTTGGGAAGGTTTGATGTGTAAGTGTATTTATTTTCATGGGTATAAGGAAAATAACACCTTCTCCCAGAAAACTAACTTTCAAAATAGCCTTTTCTACAATATATTCCAAAAATAAGAAAAACCAGAGGGAAAAAAATAACAATTAGCAAGGATAGCTGCAGAAAATAGCAACAGTGCCGGCTGGCGACGCCCAGGGGGAGGGCCTTCTCTGTTGGAGCCCCCACCCTATGGAACGAACTACCCCCAGAGATCCGGGTGATTCCGGATCTCCCCTCCTTCCGCCGCGCCCTCAAGACATGGCTATTTAAGCTAGCAGGACTGGCCTAAGGGGTATTTTAATTTGGTTTTAAAATAATTTTAAAATGAAACGGCCAATAATTAATATTTCATTTTAATTACATTTTTAGATTTAGTATTTTGTATTGTTATCTGTTTTAACTGGCTGTAAGCCGCCCTGAGTCCGCTAGGAGAAGGGCGGGGTACAAATTTGATAAAATAAATAAATAAATAAATAAAACGTAAGAACATTTCTTAGCAAACCAATATCACCTTGCAAGATTTAACTACTATAGTCATCAAAGACTTAGCTTGATAATTTTTAAATTTAAGATAGAAAATTTTATTATATAAAAACTTTCAATGCACTTACAGCTATTTTTCAATTTTTACTTAGCTCTAGATATATAATGGAAGTAACCTTATATTTATTAACATTAACATTGCAGAAAGCATTGTTAATATTGATATGAACTTTTTCAACCTTAAAAGTTTAATTCACCTAAATCATCATAGTGTTAAAAGTCTCTAGCTAATTCTGTATAAATATCCCTATACCCTTAATATAATATATGTAGGTTACAGTGCAGTAAAATTATCTAAAAAGAAACACTAGTGAGTTTGATCATTTTTACTACTTGGTTTGAAACTGTAAAAATGATGGTATTTTGCCCAGACCTATATACTTCTTTCATAACTTGAAAAGTAATAGCAGCAGCAAGGACAATGTATATGTCTTCTATAACTCTTGACATTTTCCAGTTTCTTAAAAGAACAGTTGTTTCCACAGTGTGTTAGAATGGTGTATCCTTTCTGTTCTTTGTTGGCAATAAAGATGTTTTTGCAGCTAGATGTGAAAGACTGAACACACTGTTTATATACTCATACTTACTGACAATTTGGCTGCAAACAACAATTAAGATGAATAACCCAAAGCCAAATTTAGAATTTAAAATCTGCTGTTCTCCATTAAAAATGCTGACAAAGAGTAACCAGCTAATCAAGTAATTCTATGTAATGCATACTTTCTTTCTTTAAGATACTTGCCTGGCACACTGACATGTATGATGGCTAATAGGATGCTTTTGATTTAGCTGAGTTAAAAAATGTTGCATCCATCTTCAGAGGCTGAGGTACCAGGAAATAACTACCAAAAAATAGGCAGGTTCTTTTCTATATGTTTCTCTAGAAAAATCATTTTACTAAACTCTGATTACACACAATGACTACAGTCTTAAATGTTTCATTCTAATAATTCACCTTTAAATGAGAGGGCTGTCACAGAGAATATGGTAATGGAAGCAGATTGTTTTCATTTCATTTTTTTCAGGACAGATTCACATTCATAGTTTTCTACTTTGAACATCTGTAGAAGAGACCCATCAAATTTTGAGGGATATATCTATTAGTATATATGTAACGATATAGGTCATGGGCATAAGTGGCCTGGAAATTCTCTTATGGCAGCGGTTCTCAACCTGTGGGTCGGGACCCCATTTGGGGTCGATCGACCATTTCACGGGGGTTGCCAAGCAAGGCTGTCCGCCATTTTTGTTGTCTGCCATTTTTTCCCCTTTTCCGGCGGGTGCCTTACCTCCCTTGGGCTGGGCCAGCTGGTGGTCGGCCTGTTCCATCTCTGCCGCTTGCCAGCTACGCCTCGGCTGGCGCAGGGGGCGGAACCATGCATGCACGGCGCTCCCGGGCAGGGAAAGTCCTCGACTTACGACCGGTTGGGTAGTCCTTGACTTACGACCTGTTTAGTCCTCGACTTACGACCGGTTTAGTCCTTGACTTACGACCGGTTTAGTCCTCGACTTATGACCGGTTGGGGTCGCGGCATTAAAAAGGTTGAGAACCACTGCCTTATGGGGTCTTTGGTGCTCTTCGTTGTTTTCCTGCAGATGTTTCATTACCAAACTAGGTAACATCATCAGTGCACTAAGCTCTGAGAACGCCAAGGATCCCCAGTTCAATCCTGAGCTACAAATATTCTCTTCTATCACTAAATTCTACTATATTGGCTGAAAAGAAATCTAATAAAGACATTCACAATTCCCTCCAAAACCACTAGATATAGTATAAGAATTCATATGAAATTATTTACTTCATCCAACATTACTTCATAAAAAACATTATACACCTATAATCTAGCAGACTTAATATTTGACATCCATTTTTAAAAATCCATAAAATAATAAAAAATATCTTAAATAGCTTTATGATGGTAATGATTTTTAATTTTTTTAAATAACATTGAAGATTTAGATTAAATTTAAACTACATCTGACCTATTCCACAAGTTGTCTATCCTTGATTTAGCCAAATTAAATTACTTAAGGTTTAAACATGTTTAATTATCAAGTAAACAATCAATTATCTTAGATTCAAATGCTTCAACAGATAAAACCAGACCCTAATATCTGGAATTCTCTGGATTTACTATGACTTCTGTAATGTTCTACATTCCCAACCTTGTCATATTTGGTGAAAAATCTATGATTTTTATTTCTTACTATATCTAGAAATGGGGGGGAAGGTAACCTAGGGCTTATTTTTTAAGTTCTGATCAGAACTGGATTTGGCAAATAATTATATTGCTCTTTAGTTGTGTATTCTGTAGCTAAACCTACCCTAATCCTTTAATATCTTCATAGAGTTTGCCCTTCACCAACTTGTTTGCCTTCTTCTGAAATCACTCCAATTTGTCACTGTATTGGAAACAATACTCTAAATTTGTTTTGGTGAGGCTGACATAGTGAAACAATTACCTCTAATGAACTAGATCTATGGTCCTATTGTCTTTTGACTAGTTATAATGTAATTCTGATTAATGTGGTTGAAAAAGATTTCTCAGGTCCCTTTCATTTTCTTTTTTTCACCAGCTTTCTTCCCCCTGCATCATACTATTTATATTATATTCTGCAACCATATTCTAAATATACTCTTATTGAAATCATATTTATTCACATCAACTTTCAAAGTATATTTGTTCAATCCATCTGTCAGATTAATAAATTTAATTATCTACATCAATAGTTTAGGAGCCATTTGACTTTGGCCACACAAAAACAATTTTCTAAACAGAGGTTAATGTTAGACTTGCAGCATTATTGTTTAATCAATAAGAATCTATCCAGCATTGTACCAATTCTTAAGTAAATTGAAAATAGACTCCTTTGTCACTGAATGATCAAATG